ATCTCGATAAACACTGTTTCAATTATCAAACATTTGGATAGCGACTGATAACTTTCGTACATACTACATTGTACATACATCGATTACGATTTTAAGTACCTCTTACAAAGTTTATTATATTTTAATTCGTGTAGCATATAAATACGTTTCACTCGCGAGGAAAATATAGCAGTCTAATTGAAGCAGCTAAATCATGGTGTACGTAGCAGGTAACTGTTATCCATGCTCGATCTTTGCACACATAATCTCGAGGAAGAGACGCTCCTCGGAGGCGCGAGGCTCGCATGCTCGGATCATTCTTATCTTCGCCTACTTAGTTATTAGCAAATTATCCACTTCCGTAATGGAGTCATTACATCACCCATAAATTGGCGCATCTATTACGAGCTGCGATTGGACGACGACGGTTCTCGTGATTCGTCCAAGAATGCGTAGCACCTACGATCAATTGGATTTAATTGCCGTACCGCGACGAATTCAGAGACCGTAGCGCGATCGTCTTCGGTACACGATTCATTTACCTCGTTTCTTAGTATCGCGCCGTTGGAGGGACGAGGGCAATTTCCGTGGCACGAAAGAGCATTTGTTGCCTAACGAGATAAATGAGCTGCTGGTAGATACTTACGAGCCACGATTGAATGACAAATGCCGACGTAATTTATGTACCAGAGAGCGCTTACGTTAGAAAGGGATCGGATCTTGACTCGACGCGTGTAACACACGTACGTTAGGGCTGTCGAAGTTTTCGGAACGTCAAAGGAAAGCGTCGAACGACAATTTAGATGTCTGTATTTTATTGGAAGATTTATAATAGCGAAGGACAGGAAGAATCGTACTGCACCCGTATCATTCGCTCGCTTCATTTTCTGTACAAATTGCAGCAATTGTTAGCAACTCCAAGCATCCTACGAATATAACAAGTCGTGCACTGCATTCTTACTCGTCCGTACATAACGGTCTATCAATGTGTTCACAGAATTCGTACTCCTCAATTTGAGGCGGGCTCATAAAACGTAAAATTGACACAGTTTTAAGGCAGCGTTAAATTAGCGTGAGATTCGAAGTATCGTGCAAGACGAACGAAGCGTTAGTAAAGCATACTTCACATCGAAATTAGCTAGTTCCGGGCTTTTCGGCGGAGAATTAAATTTGGCATTAATGTAACTCGATAAAATAAATATTCTCGCTCGAGATTTAGATTCCATTAATTCTTCTTGATACAACCTTGCTTCGAGATAAATGCAGACAATTATAAATTTCTATTCGGGTGATTCCCAAGGCAACGCTATGATGCTCGTACGTGGGATTTCATTAACATTCTAAGCTGCATAAAGTAATGCTAATGAATTTCGGTGCTCGTCTCGTAAACCTTCCCATTTATTCAGAAACTATTTCACGTTAGCAAAGACGTAAAAATAGACGTTTCATAATCTCCAAGCACTGTTTATTAAAATCGTGATATAGGACAAATTCCAAAGATTATCAATTCGAATTCGGGTCGTTCTCGTCAATATTCCTTTCTATGCAAATAAAAAATATTTGAACGATCTTTTATGACGTTCGTAACGTCGCTCGTCGTTAGTCGAACGTAGCGATACAGACGACCAGATTCGACAATCGTAACGACCCGTCGTTTACGACTAGCTTAATGGCCGAGCATTTTTAATATCCAACGAAATCCGGCCTTCTCCCACCGGTGAACCGTGCCCCGTGAAATCCACGGTGCACGCACTTATTTACGCAAGGATTACTTTAATGTTTACGATCGCCGTGGACCGCGGCATCGCCGCAAATTTTCCAGCTTTAATGGACCGCGGAGTCGGGAATCGAGGAATATAGAGTTAAGACGAGCGGAAGTTACGCCTGTTGTCAACCAAGTCGATGCAACGATCGTATTTTATATTTCGGGCCCCAGTATTTGGCGCACGAACGTTTCAACGTGGTTAATAAGCCTTTGGGCGCTTCATTTCGATTTCGACGGATCATTTTTCTATTATCGTTGTATTCGACTCGTCTCTTTTCGTTTACAAAGAGTCGTTTTTTCCATATCAGATTGTTGGAATCCCACAAACAAAGGTTCGACCGTTCGCTAAATCCTCCGAGTTTCCGCGAACGAACAATTTATTTAATAATAAATTCAAACGAAGAAGCGACGAGACCGAGGACGGAATATTCGATAGAGTCGAAGCAGCTCGATCGTAAGCGGCAGTCCCAATTTCGCGTCCCGAAAAACCGATTTCCCTCGAACGGTTCGAGTGCATCGCGTCGCAGAAAAATAATAGAAAAGAAACGCGGCGCAACAAAAACGGAACGAACGACGGAGGGAGGAATAGAGAGAAAAGGAAAGGACACATTCGGCAGAGTCGCGCGCTAGTTTCTCACGGTGGGAGCGCGCAAACCGGCGATGAAATAAAGGAGAAAGAAAAAGCGCATAATGTCGCAGCTCTTCCCAATTACTGCGATTAAACGGATTCCCTCGTGAGGGAAACTATTACGCCGTGAAAGCCAGCGGTCGCTCGTGCGACGACGGGAAAGAATGGCGGGGACGAGGATGGAAACGCGTAGACGGAGGGATGGTAGGGAAAAAGAAGGAAAAAAAAAAAAAGCAAAGAGAGACCCTCTGGAGAAGCTGAGAGCGCTAGGTAGGCGGCAGCCGGAAGGAAAGGGAAAGATAGAAGGTGGAAGGCGGGAGAAAGGGACGACGATGAGGATTTATGTAATTTGTGTATATGACTTGAATAACTGCCTACATAATATAACGCTGCTGGCTGGAGTGCGCGCGAGCAGGCGACGCCCTTCATCATGGAGCTTTAATTAAAATTACGTACGTTTGCTGCTTGTAACGTGCGCGCGAGTCTCCCCCAACCCCCTTTTTCTTTCTCTCACTCTTATCCCGGGCTACCTTGCTCTCGTGCCTCCTCCAACCGGGTCCCTTCCCCTCCTTCTCTCTCTCTGTTTAATATTTTTATGAGCTTTTCACGACGCGCGGATGTACGTACACGGTCCGTACACGCTCGCGGCCACCCTCTCGAGTGCACCTGTGCAGAGAGGATACACACAGCGTCTTTGAAAGGCGTTCATAGCCGCTGCTTAAAGTGGTACTTTTTTCTTCTCGCTCCCTGCCTCCTCCGTTCTTCCCTTCGTTTTCTTTTCTTCCGTCTGTGGCGAGCCACCGCTCTTTTCCTCCCTCCCCCACCCCCTACCCCCCACCTCTTCTGTGTCTCCGTCCCGCGGGAAGGGCCGTTCGCGCACGTATTCGCGATTCTCATTTGTGAAATTCGTATGAAAGAATTTCCATGACGAATACGGACGCCGGTATTTCCAAGGCGTCGATTGTAAAGGCGGTGAAAACGACGGATTGTCTTTAGTGTCGGCGTTACTGGCGCCTGCCAAGGGCCCTCCCTTGCCAGGGGGCGGCGGGAATCGTCGAGCAAAGCTCCAGACGATGAAAAGAGCCAAGAATGAGAGAACGCCACGAATGGCCGGGGATTATTTGCACCTGTCGGAGCGCGACGAGCCGCGCGATTAAGTGCTCGATGTTATCGCGGATAAATTATTTCTCCGCGCGTGGGTTACCCGTGTTCTGAATCAGACGTGTCGCAGCTTCCGTGCCCTCCACCACGCTTAGAAAAATTATCACCCATCCATATGGTGCTTCCAGCAAAGTTTAATAAACCGTTGTATACCAAAAGCAAGCTACCATTAAGTAGTAAGGGTAAACATTTTATGTAATTTATATTTCACGCGTTGCAACTCAGTAACAATTCTGAGGGGCACCGTTATGCATCGATCAAAGTGCCCATCGACTTGATGGCGAGCATAATGCCTTCCCGAAATTCGCGATCCGGCGAGCACGTTCTCCAGCCCGACCGGCCGGCAATTCCGGACGGTTTTAAACGCAAACACGTCGGGCTGGTATCCGAAATCAGCCAGCGGATATCCATAATGGATATGCGCCACGTACGAACGAATCCACGGATACGTTGAATATTCATTACAGATTCGTCATTGTTCGATGCCTCCACGAGATTAGTTCCCGGAAGATAATCAAGACCGACTCTCGACACCGATGTCGTTAAGCAATTACGTCGCGGTCGGCTCTTAAGCGCGAAACCCGCCCACTCTGCACGATCGACGGAAATATTATACGACACTGTACGTTGACTCGGTGGTCGAGGTTTACAAATAAAAAAAAAATGAAAAAAAAAAAAACTGAAAGAAAAACAAAATAGTATATCGACGCGTTGGATATTCGAAACGCGACCGGTCGTGCGTTCCGCGTCGCGGTGGCGTACGATTGCTCGCAAATAAATACAGGATTCGGGTAAATAACGAACGCGGATAAAACGTTTGAGGGTCAAAGTACCATGAAAAAAAAATCATTTGCGCGTACACTTGTTGCGGACATTACACATGTGCCGTGATCGAGGAGAGGGAACAAATACAACGCGGTTTCGCGAACGATGGAGGGCGCGTGCACGGTCGTTTCACCGTGGTACAAACAAATTCGGATGAGCCAAGATTATTGCGAAATCGTTGTTTCCTGGCGATAACGATACGCTTTAACGGAGCCAAAGGGGATTTATCGGGGAGAAATTTATGGGAGAACGTTGGAATAATAAAATTCTAACGATAAACTTCTTGATCGTTTAACCCGCCAGCGTTAGGACGTTTGGAAACCATCCCTTGCTCTCGTTAACGTTTCAAGCCTCCGGTAACCCTGACACTGGTTGTTATCGCCACGATTCTGAAGATTTTGCTCGGTGCTTATCTTTCGCAAACAGATCGAAAGATAGTATTGTTTATACAGTCGTTTTTTCACAAATATCGTTCTTTACAAATATTTGTAGCTCCGTTTGTTTTGTTAATAAGACTCAACGAGCTTCAAGATGCAAAACATTTTGAAACCTCCTTGGCTCGACCCCTTTGCATTTCGATGAAAGAATAGTTTTACCCTGTCACTGACGTCGCGTGTAATCGACATGTTGTAATTTCGGCAGGTTTGTTGAAAGGATCCGTGACAGCTGAACGGCCGCGTACGCTGCGTCGGTTGCGGAACGTTTACGGGCCATCCGCATGCGGAATGGGAACCGGCGGCGAGAGTGGAGGCGGAGAACGTATCGAGGACGGAGAGGTCCCGTTCCGATTGTCCGATCGCGACCGCGAAAGGGACGAGAAGTCCCTTAGCATAATGAGCCCCTTCGACGAGCAGGAGGAATGGGCGAAGATCTCCGAGATCATGGCGTCCTTCGGGACCGGCCTCGTCAGGGAGTCCGTCTTCGTCAACGAGCTCGAGAAGGAGTTCCAGACAAGACTAGGTAGCTTGAAATTTTCGTTTCGCTGACCTCGAACGCCTTCCATTAATCGTTAATGAAAAGTAACAGGTCGGTCTTATCGCTAACAAAGACGCGACTCGATGCCAAGAGACGAAAAATTCTAATTAAGGTTGGCTCGTTCTGGGCAATTTGTGAGAATAAATTTTTGTTCACGAATCGAAGATATTTGAGTAAGTTTAAGATTCCAAGCTTCGGTTCGCAGAAATAGCGTCTAATTCGAGGCACAGAAGGTGTCCGTCGTGAATTAAACTCGCGATACTGTCTGATTTGTACGCAGGCCTGAGTTCGGACACCAGCAGCAGCCCCATTGTCTCCACTTCCGTCGGTCAGTGGCTGTCAACGTTGGGTCTGGCGGATTACGAGACCCTCTTCGTCAATTCTGGCTTCGACGATCTCGACTTCATTGTGAGTATTTCGTCCCTTCGTCCGCGGATTTCCGCGTCGTTTGATATCTCGGACGAGCGACCGTTGTCCGCAGAACGGAGTGCTGGACGAGGCGGATCTGAAGGACATGGGGATCAGCAGCGACCAGGAACGCGCGGTGATCATGGACGCCGTTGGTCTGCTGAACAAACGCGTGGAGAAACGATCCAACAGCAGCGGGCAATCGGTGGACGAATGGTTGAAGAGCATTCACCTGGAGAATTACACGGAGACGTTCAGAAAGCACTTGTACATTGACATGGATCGCGTGAGGAGCGTGTGGGAGGTCGAACTCGCCGCTGTGTTGGAAATCCAGAAGCCAGCGCACAGAAAGAGGATCCTCGCGTCGGTCAGTAGCTCGAACGTTCGTGCGCAGAATCGCAATTGCGCCGGGCCCAACCTGGAGGACCTCAACAAGGACCTGAACACCTTGGTGAGTGAAATATTTCCTATTCGGTGAATTTTTTTCTCGTAATTGGATAGGATTTCGGGGGTATGTCCATTCACCAAAAATGATTGGAATTGACCCCCGCAAACAAAAATAATTTTTTAATATTTTAATAACTTTTTAACAAAGCCTCGATCAAGAAATTGATATTCTCTAGCATCTCCCATTAAAATTTTTCCCAGGGGTGGCCGTACACCCTGTATATTAAAATCAACACATTTTTATATTTGCGAGGTATTTGTAAGACAAATATATTCTTTTTCGTGGCCACTCGTTGTACGAACAAATTTAAGTAAAATTGACTAATATACGTTTGAAAGATTACATTAAAATACTCGAAACCCATTGATCGACATCGGATTTCTCGCGAACGTAGAATAATTTAAAAAAAAAGGTATCTCGAGGGTTGGAAAGTATCAGACGCGCCAAGAGCAAAAGGAGGCGTGTTGCAACAGTGAAACCACATCGAGTGTAAAGGGTTAACGACGTACGTCACGATCTACGTGTAGCGCGACACTCCTCTGCCGTCGATTCTGTCACCTGCGAGCGCGGGGGAGGCGCGTCACATCGCGAAGATCGCGTTTGAAGTGGGCAACGAAAACATAGAGAGCGACGGAATGGGGGGTGGGGGGGTGTTACGGTAGCGGATGCAGCAATCCAGTTAAGAATTACCGTGAACGGTTCACCGGGGTGTCTGACAAGGGCCGAGCACTTGGGCAAAAGAGGGCAGAACGAGCTCGAGGGTGGCTGCGACACGGCAAGCTCGATCGCTTTCGACGGCTTTCAGCCGATCGCGTCATAATGTAAATATCGTGGCTAATTGGAGAGCCGTTATTGTAACGCGTGCGCTCCCGCGTGCATCAGCTTACCTGTTCGACGCGCGTACGGTGCAGCGGAGCCTGCACGTCGGTGCGACACTCGAGGAAGCTTTCAGCCCGATCGCTCGAGCGGACGCTAATGGTTTTTGTTCGGGCGCCTCGAGCGCGATACGTGCATCCGTTAACGAGCTACTCCGTTACCTCGTCCCGCTCGTCTTTTCGGCGCTGCTCCCTTAATTAGCTAATTAAATTCGATTAATGGCCGACCCCGGTCGACGCGCACACGTCCAAATCGCTCTTTTTGTTCCTCCGTTTCTCTGGTCCTTACGTCCATTCTTTCCCAGTAATCGAATTTCACGATTCGCGGTCCGACTGTCGCGCTACCTACATACCCCCCGATGGAGCCTTTCCGTCTGCTGATTAAGGCGGAAACACATTACTATCGCGTCGCCCTCGGACGTTTGTGGCCGAATCGTTCCCTTTTCGTTTCTTCACGGAAGCAAAAGTTTAGTATTTAGTTTCAGTGGTTATTTAAAATATCTCGGAATCTAAATACAAACGAAACGAGAAGTTACGAATAAGATTACGAAGTCGTATAATTGTCGAGGTCCGAGTGTTCGATAAGCAGAATAGGAAGACAAGCAATAATTTACAAATGAGACGTTATGTGATTACGTGGCGTGACGTAACACTAGTGCCATTGACGTTACACAATATGAAAAGTCGTAATTATAGAGATTCGAATGTTCGAAGCACGTAATGCAACAGCGATATTATTAACTGTTTTTAGCCCTCTGTTACGTTCGAGCGCGTAAAGTAATCTTCGAATTTCGGTAGGTTCGGTTGCTGCCTCTTTCTTTCTCCTCGTTCGAAACCGTTGTCTCTTTTTTTTTTTGTACCGCCATCCCTTTGTTTTTTACGCGACTCGTTCCCCGGGGGGCCCGTGGCACGACACAAATTATACAGGGAAGCCAGATGTAACAAACGATTCGCGGCGTGTAATCCGAATTCGAGCGATACGCTCGCGTGGTTTGAATCCGGTTTGATCGTAATTCCCGTACCGCCGCGAAACGGCCGCGCGTTTCAGCCGGAGAGATTGCAAAAAGTTTCCTTTTTTCGGGGGTCCGGTGCTGCGCCGGGACGGGGTGGCAATTCGAAACGCCGACGCTTTTACGTGTGTAATTGTACGTTGTGTAACGCGAGCCGGATTTTCGAGCGTGGCTTTGCAACGCTTCGCGAAAATTTTGCGCATCCGGGGGCTCTCTCCTTTTTTCGTTTCTGTTTTGTTCACCGACGCATCGAGGGGATTCGCCGGCGAGGCTGGTACAACGTAACGTCATCTGGTTCAGCGAAATGGTGAAATAAAAAAAAAGAAAAAAGTTTCTTTCCACCGGTCGGTCGTTCGCGAGTCGAAAGGTTTTTGTATTTGATAAAAATCGACGTGCACCCTTTTCTGTTCTTTTCTATTTATTCGACGACGATCCGTGTCGCTTGTTTATCGAAATTACCGATAATTTAACGGACAAATTTCGTTTCTCTATCGCTTGATGAAGCTTCGATTTGAAACTTCTGCTACGATCGTTTCTCAAGAATCTTTATCGTCCCGTTTCCACAGAAGACGAACATACAGCAGCTGAAGGAGGAGATACGAGAAAAACTGCCGGAAACAACGACGGAGGGTAATGCCCCGACGCCGATAACCGGAACGAATTCGACTACCACGGGTACATTAAGGCACCGCAAAAACAGACCAGCCCCGCAGCCACCCCAGCGACCCAGTTCGCATAATGGGGCGATCTCAGCTCCGGAACAGCTCGAGATCAGGGCACCGTCGGAGTTGCTGTTCGGCGTGCCGTCCACCCTAAAGACGCAATGGAGGCACCAGCCAAAAGCTCTAGTCACCGGCTGCGTCACGTACGTCGCCAACGTAAGATCTAATTGCTTCCCGTGTTCCTTCTTCTATTTCTTGGCTCCATCTCGAGCCAAATAATCTCGTTGCTTCAACCGCCGTCGACAGACATATTCTTGTCGGTGTCTATGATACCGGGAGATCTCTTATTCCGAGATAGGTTGCGCACGAGATACGCAATACCAAAGGGTAGGGACTTCGTAGAAAAATACCAAACGAAGATTGCGCGATCAAACGCGACTCATTTTGGTTTGGAAGCGTGTTAGGGATAGAGAAAAGTAACATGAGGCAAAATTAACTTCTTTATGTCGTTTTTGAATCTCTACAATTGTTGAGCCCCAACACAGGTAGCTCCAGAAAGGTCGTAGCAGCCGAGCATTTTTAGGCTCCGGCAATTACCACTCCTCGCGACCAGAACTGTGCCATAAACTTGACCTTTCCAACAGCTGCACATCACGTACCAATCACCGCAATAAAACCATTACCTGCTAACCCTAGCCGAACAACATTTCCCAAAAATGTTTAAACATTCAAGCTCCGCCTCAAGACCATTTTCAGAGCCACCCTCACAACGCAACCGACCAATCCTAATTCATACAATCCACCTTTCCCCAAAATATCAGCAGCCAATCCCAACCTTAACCTCCTCGACAACGGGGCAAACACAAATCCATCAAGCAGAGCTCAGACAGAACTCAGAGAGAAACCACCAACATCTCACTCACTACCACAGTACACTCTACATTTGTACAGACATTGTTTTATATTAAAGTTTAAATAGTGTTACAAAAGGTGTGTCAAACTCATTTCAACAAATCTCTTCTTACATCACGACTCATCGTACATTAATTTGAACGAAGAAGAGCGAACGCAAAACGATCCGTTGATTCTGGACAGATCGTCATCCTGCGTCGCAACAACAATGCTTTTCCACTTGCACGAAACCTATGATACGGTTTTCGTATTTACATTTTGTTTTTTTCCAAATTGGTGAACAACCAAATAAATAGTGCACGCGTAAAATGAAATGCTGGTAAAGTAGACCGTGTTCTTGAAAGTTTCGAACAGCAGACGGTTACACGAGATAAAAGTGAAAATGTAATCGCACCCATGGAAGCTGGAGTGTCTCATGCACATGTGGTAATTGTACTCCGTAATTCTGCTCCCGGGTCTAACGTATTACACGATTCTTGAATAACGAGCGCGTCGTGATGTCAGCCAGATAGTCGTGACAGTGCCTCAAGGTGAAGGCTATTATCATAATTGTCGCGTGGGTGTAACTAATAACACAATTCATTCAGGACATTACTTCTCGTAAAGCGAGCCTTAACACGCCGAGAAAACGACGCTTTCTTTCTTCGTGGAATTACGCCGTGGAGTTTAATAATTACGAAGCTATCATATACAAATTTACGATGTATACGACACCTTTTCGATCCTCGAACGGCGAACCGTGGCTCAAGGTTTTTTTCTGTTTTAAAATCACACAGTATCTGGGCTCCACCGTTGTGAAGGAATTGCGTGGCACCGAATCGACCAAGAAGTCCATACAGAAGCTAAAGAAAACCTGTCGCGAGCCTAGGGTCACTCCTGATATCACATTGGCGATTTCTTATCACGGCGTTCGTTTCCTGAACACAGTGACCAACGTAAGATGCTTCAACATTCAGCATTGTTGATCCTTTGTAACACCGTTGCACTCGTACGTTTGTCACTCGATGAAAAAAGTATGTTCGGTATAATGGGTACCAAAAGACTGAAGTTTCTGTGTTCGTATTCATTTTGGGAATCGCGCTGCAGTAAAGTATCAATAAGGTAATTTCGTTTCCTTGTAAAGCATCGAATTAACGCGTACGAGTGTCACGCTGCGAGGGATTAACATGGGAACTTAATATGCTTATCGTGTCTACATACATTTGCATTGGCAATCATGCAAATCGATAGGATCCGATTTGCGAACACGAAATTCGCAACATTCACTGCGCCTGTCAGGACGCTGACGATCTTACCCATTTTGCGTACATCACCAAGGACCACGCCAGTCGTACGCATTTCTGTCACGTCTTTTGCGTGCCAACGATGGTGAGTCAATTTTCCACTTGTCCAAAAATCTAGCAAAAAGATTAAATGCCCATAAATAATATCGCTCGTTCCCCCTAACATTGAATATTAGACTTTCCAATCATTTTCAAGATAGTATCGAGGGTTTGCAATTTCATCCTTTAGTTGTTGATTAATCTAAATGCCTTCAAAGTCTTTCGTCAATGGAATCGACAATATATCAACACAAAATTATTTGATCGATTCATCTTCTAAGGAACGTAAATTATACATGACTCGTCACAGCAAGCGTTACAATGATTTTTCAAACAAAAAATAAATTCCCTCTATTTTCAATCGAATCCGACGCGAGCTCCGCCTCCCCGGATAAGTGTACGAGGCGAGGGGTCGATTGTTCCAGGACCAAGCCACCGAGGTGATCCTGACTCTGGGCCAGGCGTTCGAAGTGGCCTACCAAATGGCGTTGAGGGACAAATTGGGAGGTCACACGGTTCGTTCTCAGTCCGCCAATCAATTGACCGCGTTCACCACGAAATCGTCGGCGACCATCAAGATGTCCGTGTCGCCCGATTCGACGCCCGACGGTAACCGCGACCACGATCATCCCCCGGTGCCGGTTCCAAATTTGAATTCGACGCCGTGCGCGAACGTGAAACCGAAGTCGCGCGGCAAATCGTCCGCCCCCACTCCGATCGTTCAGTCCACGGGCCTGAATCTTCCGTTGGATACGAATTCGAACTCGAGCACCAGCTCGAGCAACACGGCGAACTGCACCTCGAGCTCGAACCAGGTCACCAGCCCTAGCGTCAACTCCGTCAGCAGCACGAACACCACCGCGAAACCATTAGTGACGCACGGTAGGTCCCATTCGGTGAACGACATCAAGCTGAACGGAAACCAGCTGAAGCTGGCGCCGATACCCGTCGACGACATCGGCATAGGCGTCAAGGACCTGAAGCCTGGCTCCAGAGCACCGATCGCTCTCTCGGAGGAACTTTAGATCTTCTCGATTCCAATCTGGAATTCGTGGATGTCGTTTGGGAAATCTGGGGGATGTTTACCCCTTGCGTCTAACTCGCGAACGAAGCTTCTCTAACGGAAGGAAACCACGCTTCGTGATGGGACCTCGACGATGGACATTGTTCGACGCGTTAATAGTCTCGCGAAGGCAAGATGGCGAGAACGACACGAGTCTTTATTGCCGCGGAAGGAAGAAGAGACGCGATCGTTGCGAATCACGCAATCACCGATCGCGTGTCCGCGGTGTCTTTTTATCTCTCTAACTTTTGTAGTAGCGTTATACACGGCGGGCAGTTTGTACGATTAATTTTGTACCGGGCCGAGTCACGGATGGGCCTCGCGACTGCTCAGGTAAGTGGACAACCGTCGAATTACTTTGCCAAAATCTCCGTACACGGGGATCACCCGGCGTCGAGGGCATTGTCAGAGCCGACAAACGCTCGCCCGGGATGGCAAACGAACGCTCACCTTTTACACATTTTACGCGCGCGTCCGCGCAGCGGGAGGCTAAGATGCCTGGGAACAACGAACTTTGATATTTAAATACACTTGCGAGCGGTGCTTCGTTTATCCTGGTCGCTCGACTTGTTTTTCGTCTACTCTTTCTCTCTCGATCTTGAGTGAAACGAAACACGGTGGTTTGAGAAACATTTTTCCATTAAATTAAAAAAGATTGACGCGTAGCACTCTGCATTGCCAAATATCGAAATTAATTCACGATACGCAAACAAGTAATTATGGCGCTTTCACTGTCCGCGCTGAAAATAGATAAGATTATCGTAGCAATAAACATTCTATTCTTTTTCTCGACAGTACTCGTTATTATTCCTGTGATATACCTGTGCTTTTCAATTTTGGAAAAGCTTTGAATTTTTCATCGTACGAGCAATATTTGTCAAAATATTTTGACGTAATTATCTTGACCTATACGCGGGTCGGTGGACAGTGAACGCGATAATTATACTCTATGAATACCGAGGCAAACGATTCTCTCAGACTATCGTAATTTTATTTTATTCAAGGTCCCTCAAAGCTCATCCTATGCACACTGAGATATCAACGCGATCGAGACACACAAAGCACCCAGTATATCAAAACTCCGCTCCGCGCGACGCGCGATCATCACGAACAGTATTATTGACTAAAATAGAGCTCCTCGACACCGTAGATATTTTCTAGTTTTACGCACGATGTTTTGTCGGTACGTAAGAGTGACGAACGTTACATCGATGTTTCGCCTAAAATAATTACAAAAAAAAAAACGAAAGAAGAAAAAAGGCAAGAAAGCAACAAAAAAAAAAAAGAAACGCCCGTACGGCTCGCGACTAATCGATCACACAAAAGAAACACACATTCCCGCGAAACGGAACGACACGGGCGAGCTGACAAATTCCAAATACCAGAATGCTCAATTTTGCTCCCGAGTAAATAATTATTAACGACTGATGAGACTCTGAGGCTGAATTGTTTTCTCCGTGACGGTCCACGGTAGATTCGTTTCTTCCACGATCGATTCCACCCCCTCGTTCGAGTCGCCACCGTTTTTTCGACGTTATATCACCCAAGACTGACATCCCTTATCTCGATTTTCTATTCCAACGTTTAAGCATTACGTATAGAAACATGTATACACAGGTATATAGAAACGTACACCGACCCACGCAAACACACACACACGTACACGTTGTACTGTTACAAAAGAAACGGAACGGAGAAAGGAAGCTCCTTAGTTAGCGTATTTATTCGAGTGCTAATTCGACGAACCTCGCGATTAGGAAACGAAACTATACCACGAAGCGGTACCAAATATCTATCTAATATATAGTTAAATACTCTATGGAGTCTGTTCGAGGACTCATTCTAACGTAAGGATTCACGTGTTGATATCGCGCAAGAACGAAATAAGATAGTCCACCTCGATGCAGATTTGACTCCAGGTGTCATAGTAGTGTCGAATAACGCGTAGCATCGTACGTAGCTCCGTTCTTTGAGGGAGCAGGCCTAACGAACGCGTAGATATTGAATCGTAGTGATACTCGAGCGTGTAATCGGACGTTCGATAACGTCGGGAGGGGACGTAGACGAAGGAACGAACCGCGCTGACGGCAAAAAGGTATTGGTGCCATTCGAGACGGTACCCTTTTACGCGCGGCGTTGGTGCTCCGTAGCGAAAACCAAAGATTGCGTGTATGTATATAAAGCATGATATTAATCGAGCGAGAAGACGGACGGATAGCTCCGGGAATGAGAAACACGAAGGCGTAGGCGGTGATACAGAGATCAGAGGAAACGGGAGACGAGTGGAACACGAGTTACTGCCAAATAACACACCAACATTACCGCGTGGCTATACGTACACACTTTGTATTTATCACGTTTACAACAGTAGAGATAGTTATGTATACAGGATTAAGCGTTTAGGTGTACCAGAATGGCGGACCTGGTCCGCGGGCATCGTGATAACAGTCATTTCGCCGCGGAGTGTAATTAAACGTGTATTCTCTACGCACCGGTGTACTCGCGTAGCGCAGCTATCGTAGAACAGTAGTTTCAAGTAGGCAGCATGTTTTCCTCGATGTGTCAGTAAATACGAGCTAAGGAAATTACTCATTCGTCGACGAACGACGGCTATTGTGGCACTGGACCCACGGTCGGTCCGTTGTTCGAACGAAGCATCGATTAATCGATCGGAACGGTCGACTGTATGTTAGTAGAACCGAAATGGCGCGGATAGTAGTCGAGATGAGAACGATCGTAGATACCTTTATTTTTAGTACCTTTAGCGCATCTGTGCTTCAGTACGTCCGTATTATTTAGTGTTTCAGTACTTTTGGCGCTTACCCGTTTAGATCGATAGTACGCGATCCGAGTGCAATTTGAAACGCCAATATTGGATGGATCGATAACACATCTTGCCAATCCAACGTACAATCTTTTTTGTCGTAGAGTTTCTAACAAAAGAAATCCTAAATTTCCTAAGCAAATATCCTGCAGGATGGTTTCAAAAGATCAGACGAGTCCGCAGCTCTCGTCTCTCGTCCACGAAGGAAATTTTCGAGAGAAAATATTGCGTGGTTTACTTTATTTCGCAATTTTCTCCTTTTTATACCGATCCTCGTCGTTCTGCGTACGAAGGCCATTTTCTATTGAAACATAAATTCGGTTACCTGAATACCTCCATACGCAGAATGTCGTGGACACGTTATTTCATTGCTTAGAAAAACATAGTATATAATATTTTCCTCGATCGAGTTTCTGTGGCTTGTGCTTCCCGGAATCATCCTGCACGCGTAAAAGATTCGTCGACGAGTATTTTTTTTTATTTTTCATTGCTCGAGCCGACGACTCGCGACAACAACCATTTCGTCCATCAACGAACAATACAGTTGCAGGCGATGCAATCTCGAAAGTGCCAACAATGGAGCCCGTTTTATACACGATACGCTCGTTCGATCCGATTTCAGGATCCGCGACGATTAGGTTTGCCGGATGCATTATCCGGGAGAACACGAAAGAAACTATTTAACTGTAAATATATATCGAGCAGTTTGTAGCTTAATCCCGTTTCGCGTATTGTAAACTACCTTCCTCGCATCGACGCGTTTGATTTGCTCGCCGAGGAAAACGGGCAACGGACGAAGAAAAATAATTTATTTCCCTCCGATTCGCGTACGACGAATCGTCGCGATTTCACCGCAATACGAAAGAGGCATCTATGTAGCAGTAACGATAAGTATTTATATAAATAACTACCGAGTAAACGTTTAGCTGTACGCATATACTATGATACGTAGATCAAACTGAGTGGTATCGAAATGGGTTTTCGGGACTCAGACCTGCCAATCGCGCAAAGAGACTCACTCACGGACCAAGCGAAGATAAAGAAACATAAAGAAAGAAAAAAAGAAAAAATAAAAAAAAAAAAGAAATCCGAGACAATGGTAGTTCGTAAACTGGTAGTTAACAATGGAAGAAGAATGTTAGACGCAACCGTCGGTGTTCGAAGCCCTCGTCCCGACGTGCTTTCGTTTCTCGTGCGTAGCGGCCACGGGTTATTACGATAACGATATTCGTGTCGATATATGGAATACAGGTTCGAGGTATAAATGTAAATAGGTGTATGGTAAAACTAGAGTGTCCTGCTGCGATCACCGTGAATCAGTTCAATGGCAACGATACCAAAGAAACGGTCGATGCAACTTCCTAATTGTACATTAGACGACTATGTGTGATTAAACTGACATTACTGATTATTCCTGTGGCTTTTATGTGTTGTTGATTTTTGTGAATCACCTACGTCTCGAGATCCTTCAGGCTTTCTTTTCTTTGTCTGCACTTTACTGTTGCTAGAGGTTTCAGGCCCCCGAAGTGTCTGTTACTGGGGAAAAATAAAGCAGCTTGGAAATCATTTCTTTTCTTGGGATTCTTAGTCTGTCAGTGGATGAAACCTGGTCTAAGAATTCCAGAATTATTTTTAGAAAGAATGTGATATGTCCTCCGTAATAAATATTCAGTAAAGATTGGTATACGCATGCAAAGTATCGGTGCATTGATAGCTGTAACGTTAATGGCACGTACGAACACTTTTCCAGAACACAGGTTCGCTAGAAACAAGCCGTCTAAATATCTTCTGTGGTATCGATGTAGCCTTAAAACGTAGTATTTGTTACGCCATATTGGCCATAGTAAAGAAATAGCTTTTATTATATAATTGATTATATCGAGAAGTAACGTTTCTGTCATAGTAAAAATGTATAGATTCTTTGAGACCATGTATATTTTCTAACTTCGGCTTGACAGAAGATGTTAAGGTGTCCCACTTTGTAGCCCTGCTTTCTCCTGCTCCTTTCGATTTAATTTTCTAGAAATCTTAGAACATGTCCGTTCGATAACAGTGTCTCGTAGATCTCATATTGTTTCGTAGATATTTTTGCACTCGACAAGCGGATATTTTAATTTCTTTTCGCCGACATCACAGATCTCGTAAACTTTGAGCGTCGCGAAGCTCGTACAATTCTCAAGCGTGTTCAACAGAGTGAAATCGCGCTCGTCCTGATTACGCGTGCGTTTCGCCGGGAAATACGATGTCATTAACGCGACGCTTATCTCAAATCGCATCAATTTGCGAGGTGAATTCGCGTGATCGTCCTCTCGTTTCAGTTTAGGCTCTTCGGTCGCAAGAAAAACGCAGGTTTCGCGTGTCTCGTTAACATTTCCCGTCGCTAGATCCCGGAACTTAATTACGCAAATATCGTCGCGTTTCGGATTTATATTCGCGATATTATTTCATTAGTCGGCTACGCGGTTCGCTAACTATCAAGTGATCCACTCTAGCCAAAAACTAGATTGTGCTAGAAATATGATTTGACGTTAAATTTTATTTATATCGCGAGCACAATTGCAAACGTTGAGTTCCTCTCGGTCGACATTCACGCACAAAACTTTTACGAACCTGCACAAGCATTTGCATAAACATTTGTACGTGACGGCACACTTTTACGTTCGTCTTCCTCTACGCGTCAACCCCCAACGTAGGAATAAGTTTTCCATAAAACGAGAAGTCAATTTTAGCCCACGTCCTGTGTAATTGTCTTTCATGAAATCGTAGATTCTTAGGTTGATACGTAGACTAACTTGCGAACTGATTCCGGTGGAAGCGTTTCTATCTCTTCTAAGATTCTTGTACGATCGGTGAAACTGAGAATTCATGTTCAACGACTTGTAAATTTCTCTCTCTGCACACTATAATCTAGCCAACGTTTTCTTTACGCGATTAGGTAAGACGTTCGGTCGCTCGTAAGTTTCACACTCGCACGCTGAAGATTGCGAAGATATTGTGCAACCAATTACTTTTAAATGTCACCGCAATTATCTCCGATCGCTCGCGGAGCGAAAGCGTGAAGTTCGATTATCGCCGAATAATTTGTGTCTCGTAATCGATAATTCATCGCTTCCCCTTTCGCTCGTCGAGCCGTCGGGAACACTTTAGATTCACACTTTTAAACGCGAGACGACTCTTTCGCGTTCGCGTAATCGTCTCCGCGCTCCTAATGTAATGTTCGTTAGCGGATTAAGAATATTGCGACTTTAATTCTTCCCTCATCCACTGTCGTTGAATCGTCCGTCGATGGTCCGTTCCCAAAAGATGCGTTTATAAAAATGCAAATTGCAACGCTCGAAATAAAAAGGCATGTAAAATTTATTTTCAGCCAAAAAGCTCAGTGAACGTTTTAATTATTTTACAAGAGCCAAGAATTCTTTCGATAAATGTAAACGCATCTTCAGGAGTCTGTAGGTGTCGGGCCTCCACCATTTCTATAGCGAAATGATTCGACCATATTATGAAATTTACGTCCATTTGTAGGACTCGATACCAGAGACGGGCAAAAATTGAATTGCATTGAAATTTTAAATAAAATTTTGCCC